CAATAAACTCAAAGATTTGGCGAAATTTGGAGGACCTACACAGGAATTTAAAGGACCTTCTGAAATTTCTCTATGCCCCCGGGTTCTATTGTTATTCAAGAAGTTCATTACTCTTGGGTTATAGGTTTTGAATGGTGCATCAAATGGTAAAGAGAGAAAGTGGGTTTATTGACTACATTTATAAAGAAATTTCAAAGAAAATCAGATGTGTCAAATAAATCAATATACAAGTAAATTTCTTTGACTACATTTGCAGGGAATGTAAATTTCTCTAACTACATTTGTAAAGAAATTTTATATGCAAGTCAGATTGCAAGTGTGTAACGGCCAAAGAATATCAACATCTCAAGGAAATTTTAGAGAAAATCATATGTGTCGGAGAAATCAACATATAAGTAAATTTTTCTGACTACATTTACAGAGAATGTAAATTTCCCTTACTACATTTGCAAAACAATTTCAGAGAAAATCAAATGTGCTAAAGAAATCAACATGCAAGTAAATTTCTCTGATTAAATTTGCAGAGAATGTAAATTCTCTTATTATAGAAAAATCTTATATACAAATTAGATTGCAAGTGTGTAATGACCAAAAAAAATCGACATGGCAAAGAAATTTTAGAAAAAATCAAATATGTTAGAGAAATCAACATGCAAGTGTGTAATGTGTGCAGTGAAAATCAAATGCACAAGAGAGTAGTAAATGTGTAATGCCCAGATAAATTCCAAATATAAACACACAAACACACTCGGAGAAATACCAATGAGATTGTTGTGACAACCCCGTCATGTATTATGCTTTTAATCCTTTAAGTTTGCATGTGTTTATATGCTTAGTGTGAATTTGAATGTTACTTATGTGCTTAATATGATTCTTAGATTCATATTTGTTAATCGTAAGAATATATGTTGTGATTTTGGTATGATCTAAAATTAAAAGCCTAAATGGTGTCAAAAATCGAAATTGGTTTGTTTATTGTGAATGGCATAATTTTTAGAACCTAATGGGAGGTTTGATTAACATTTGATTCAATTTAAAATTAATTAGATTAACTCAATTTAATTAAGTTTGTTTGATTAGACTTAAGCTCTAATTGCTTAGTGTAACCCTTGATTAGTGTATTAAGTTAACTAAGCCTTATATATATATATATATATATGTTAAGAATGAGATCAGGCTCATTGTTTTGCACTCAAAAATATGAGAAAAAGAGCTTTAGAGATAGAGAACTTAATTTTAGAGAGAGGAAAAGCTTGGTTTGAAGATTAGGCAACGAGATTGAAGGATTGCAAAGAACAACTCAAGAAATTGCTAATACAAGCTCAATTGAAGATCTTAGGTAAGTTTTTTAACCTTAATTTGTGAGATTAAGCTATCAAATATGTGAATTCAATAGAATTATATGATTAAATATAAGAAATGCGCTAAAGATGATGAATTTAAAGTCAATTCATACATGCATGCACAATTTTATTGAACTCCATCATTTTGAGCATGATTTTTGTCATCCATGTTTAAATTAAGGATCATACCTTACATGCATTAATGAATTATGAAGTTTTGAAGCTTAATTCCATGTTTTGAGAATTTTGGCAAGAACTTGAAGTCATTTGGGTCATGCAAGATGAATTCATGAAGTTTTGAGTATAAGATTTGAAGTGGGTTTTGAATTTTTAAGGTGTTTTTGTGTTTTAGAACATGTCATGCAAAGGTTTTTGGCACTAAACTTGTGTTTTGAAGTGGGTTTTGAATTTTTAAGGTGTTTATGTGTTTTAGAACATGTCATGCAAAGGTTTTTGGCACTAAACTTGTGTTTTGAAGTTCAAACTGCGTTATGAAAAATTCAAAATTCGACCGCATTGCTCAAGTGAACAAGTCGTCGCTCAAGCAACTTTCAAAGATCAAAGAAACTCTCATGATCTATGTAAAAACATAACATGCAAGAACTCTTATGAATCAAGTGCTCTAAAACTTGACCAAATGCAAGATTAAACCAAGTGTTTTTCAAAGTTTAGGCCCAGAAAAATGTGTTTTGGATGGTTGAATGTTGAATTTCATGTTTGGAGGTCAATCTGGATTTTCTAGAAATTTGACCCACGCTCGAGCGTGAACCCTGAGTACATGCATTCCGCTCGAGCGGCGAGAGTTACGCTCGAGCGTGAAATGCGTATACCCAAAAGTTTGTGTGTTTTGCAGTACGCTCGAGCGAGAGAGTTCACGCTCGAGCGAGGACCTGAGTCTCACGCTCGAGTGGAGGTCGAGCGTCCGTCGAGTGTGAATTGCATGCATCCAGTACTTTTGCTTAAGTTTGCAGTCCACTCGAGCGGGGAAAGTCGCGCTCGAGCGGAGCTCCTTTGTCTGCATGTCCGCTCGAGCGTAGAAAGCCACGCTTGAGCGGGACCCCTATTTTCTGAAAATTTTGAAAAATGTTTTAAAGTGCATCTTTGCATCCTCTTTCCATCCTAGGCATTCCTAAGCCATGTTTAAGGCATCTTAATAAGGATATTGATGTAGAACCACACCGAGTCAAGATAGGAACTAAGTTGTTGATTCCCAAGTGTGTAACTTAGTGTGAGTTCGTTCTATAACTGTGTAGGGTTAGCATCCGAGAACGCTCATTAGCTGCTTATAGCCCAGTGCTCTGTGAGTAAAAATGTTGTAAAGATATGTTCAATTATGAATATTTTCTAAATGATCAACTGTTCTGTTTACTTAAGCGTTTCTGTTTAATGAACAAATGTTTGTCCTATTTGTAAATTGTATTGTGGCATCTTTAGCAACTTACTGTTACTGCTACTGTCACAGAGATCTCTGTCGGTTCCCATGTTTGGAACCACTACTGTTTACTGTTATGATGGCCATCAACTGACTGTTCGGTCTGTTAAGACCTACTGTACTATTTTGCTATTGGATGTACCACATATGACTGCTATGGTTTCTAAATGACTAATATGACTGTTTAATTACTGAAAGGACATTCATTCTTAACCTCTTTACATAGTTGTTATTCACTGGGCTTTAGCTCACTGTTTATATTTATATGTAGGTGTTCAGGCACCGGATCGATGCTAGAAGCGTCAGGTTAACTCCCTTTTTGCCAAGCCAACCATTGTACCTCACCTCGAGGTTCCAAGTCTGACCGAGCTAAGGCTGTTTTAGGGTGTCAAAGTTTCACCCTTCCGTCTCTGTTTTGTAATACTGTTTAAGACTTGTACTATATTGTGCTAATTAGGGATTTGGTCCATAACCTGGATGTTTGTACATATGGTGTATATATGTTTTGCTTATAAATGTGAATATGTTCAGAAAAGTCTTTTTGCATATAGACTGTCACAGCTCATTGGACATCTTTTATTTACTGCTTTGGCTTTCGCCAGCCCCTTACTCTGTATTACTGTCATTACTGTTAAGCAAGCCTTCGGTAATCACGGATTACTGGCCGGTTACGATGCTTAAACCCATAGGGGAGGGTTTGGGTCGTGACAGTATATTTGTCTCAATAGACCAAAGGTCGTTTTGAAAAAGAATATATTAGACCAAATGTCGTTTTGACAAAGATTATATTGGATCCAAGGTCGTTTTGAATATGAATATGTTAGACCCAATGTCGTTTTGTCCCTTTGATATGTTTCAAGTATAATGGACTAAACCTGAGGTCATTTCGCTTCGTTATGATCTACTTAAGTCTGTTATGAATGGGAATAATATTCCACATGTAATATGTATAAGTACGATTTATTTATATACGAATCCCATTTATTAACCTCTTTATTTTGATATTATTTATTAGGTTTTCGCTCACTCTTTATATATATGTATTTAGGTGAGCAACCGGTTGCCCAACGTTAGAGTCTGCCCAGGAGAAGCTTGTGGTTTTGAGATGTCAACTTTGGTGCCTCTTCTTAGAGGCTTTTGTTTCTTTTGTTTTGATCTTTTACTTTCTTTTGTTGGTCATGTTTAAGGTCATGTTTGACCATGTCTGTGTATAAGTTTTTATTTTTGTATGGTTATGATATATGTATGATTTTGGACATGTGAGATCTCTTGATATATGAATATGTGTGAGTTATTAATGTACAAAATGTTTTTGTTTATGCCATTTATATACAAGTTCATTGGATAAATTTTTTACATTTCTACTTCCGCTTCTGACCCCATACAATTAAATGTAATATGATTTCTGTCCAAAGTCGTAAGTAATCTCATGATTACTAATCGATTATGATCCAGACCTCTAGAAAATTTCTACTTCCGCTTCTGACCCCATACAATTAAATGTAATATGATTTCTGTCCAAAGTCGTAAGTAATCTCATGATTACTAATCGATTATGATCCAGACCTCTAGGGACGGGTTCAGATCATGACAATTGTGATGTATTCAGAGAAATTTCAATAAAAATCAAATAAGCCACACCCACCCAACCCCCCTCCCCCTATCTATCTCTTTATTTCTCATTCCAAAAACAATTTTCTGAGTTATAATTAAATATATACATATATATATATATATATACATTATAATTAAACAAAATATGAGACATAATTAAATAATTTATTAGTCATAATTAAAATAAAATTATAACTAAAGAATAAAATTGATTGTAATTAAAAAATAAAATAATATAAGTAAAAATACATATAGTACATCTTTTTTTAAACGAGTGTATTAGAATTTCCCAAAGAATTTTTACAAGGCATTTATTTGCTGCATGACTTTGAGTAGTATAGTACAATGGCGAGTGACTGAGGTTGCTGTCATAGCTTGGACCCATTATTACCTGAAGACTGGAAGTGCAATTGATGTATGCTTCTACACACAGAAAGCTCTCTTATTCAAACAAACACAAGGAAGGTAAAGCGCACTCTGTGTCTCTCTCATGGTCTATGTTTCTGCTCATAATGACTCACAAATATAAATTCAGGCGAAATTGAAAAACACAGCACTGTGGCTTTCTAGCAAACAAAGGCAAAAGTTGAGAAATTGAAACAAATATCAAGTCGATTGAAAAATGGGTAATTCATTGAACAAGTTGATTTTATATTGAAAGGTCAAACTTACAAAACTCTACAATCAATGGTGGGAACAAAAGTGAACCACCCCTTTGAACAATGAACAAAAATGAAACTATAAAAAGTCCCCAGACAACCTTCAGAAAGAAGGAAATAGGGATGGAAAATTTGAGATCAATGTAACACAGAACTTAATAAAATTAACAATAATTACAAGTGCCAACACAAGCCTACAAGTTCTCTACCCCATCAGTTCTTGAATGTTGAGATCCCAACCCAACTCCATGGCAAAATCATGATTCACAGCTCTCCTCACTTGCAGATTCAAACAACCATTTGAAGGTCGCGAATCATCGGCGGTGGTACCTTTGTTGGTGAACACAGACTAGCATAGCTTATTGGAAAACTTTGGCAATAGCTACCAAGCATAATAACAATTAGCCTATAAATTCACATTATGATGCTTCCTCTGTGAAACCAATTGGATCAAATCAACATTCTCCTCTATAATATACACATGAGAGAGAAAGGGTACCTCAGGAACCCACAAGCTCATCATTTCCATATGAACAACTTGTTAATTCCCATCATTGTATTGTTCTTGTAAGCTTACACTTGGAAATGAAGATAGTAGCTGTGTAATTTAGACTACACAGCTTCAAGAGCTCGGCTGACCGTTGCTTCAATGCGGGATTGCAACCGCTCTGAATTACCAGCAAGAGCTTTGCAGCGAGGCCTGCATCGATGGCGAGCGGTGCACATTCTTCAGGGGCAAGCTTGCAGACAACCCACAAGATCGAAAGCGCCAATTGAGTGATTTTTTCTGAAACTTTCATTAACAACATGACCACGTTAGGAATGGTGTTGGGACAATCCTTGAGAGCCAATCTACCCTCTGGAAGAGTTATCAAAAATTCAAGGATGTGAAGGGCTAATTCTAAACACTCAGCATTCAAATTGGGCAAAAGCTCAACTATCTGAGGAATAGCCCCAATGCTCACTACTGAATTCCTCACCGATTCGTGCGAGCAGATCATCTTGAGTAATCCGAGTCCTGACAATACTCCATTTGGGTGTCTCTTATCTTTAACTAATCTCAACAACCCTACCAAGAGGCTCAAACTCGACACGATTTCTGACTCGAAATCCTTCCCAGCCATCAACATTTGGATCAATTTCGTGCAATTGATCTTCGTCTCAACCGACCCTTCATTCAACATGTCCACCATTAACGATACCTTGGCAGGTTGCATCAAATTCGTCTTTGAATCCGAATCAAGATCCAAATTCACAAGAATCCCAATTGCCTCGGACCCAACTGCGTGCGTAGTGAACCGACCCAACAATGAAGAAATTAGTCCAACTCCACCATTGTCGACCACTGTTTTCTTCACTGAATCATGAGCAGTGACGACCTGTCTAAGGTCCTTGAGTGCTTGAACTCTGGCTTGACCTTTAACCTTCTTCAGAGTCTCCAAAAGCTCCAAAGCCCTTCCTTGAACATCCTCTGATCTCTTCTTCACCGCCAAGTACTTCTGAGAAAACCAACTGTAGATTAGATGGTGAAGGGTAGTGTTTGGGGTCACCGAATCGTCCCAGAGCTCTTGCATTGTGGTGGGGCAAGTGAAGTGTCCCAAAGAGAACCATTTGAGAATGTTTGATCTCTCGTAGGTCTGCCCAGTGCAGAGAGTCACTGGATCTTGCATTGGCTCCAAAGAAATTGGGCAAATGAAGACACAGGGGACCTCTATTGAATCAAGCTCTGCAATCATCTTTTTCAGATCCAGTTTCTCACCGGTGGCGCCGCCGCCGCAGATAGCCCCGCCTCCGCCGCCTAAAATTCCATCTTTCACGGCGGTTTCCAGATCCAAGATGTGCCCGCCACCGCCGACATCGCACTTCACATCCCCATCTCTCCGACGACTAAATGGCTGATACATAGGCATTTTCACACACCCTTTTGTTGACAAAACTAGGAAAAGAAAAGACTTATCAGGAGAGGAAAAAAAAGACCCAAAACAGAGCAAACCCTTGAAAATCACTCTGAACCAAGCAACAAAAAACAGAAGTATTCTTCGAGGCACATCACGACCATGGAAAAGGACATGAAGCGTGTGGTAGAAAAAAGATTACAAAGAGAAGAGTTTCACACTCTTTTATCTCTCTCTCTCTCTCTCTCTATTTCTCTCTCATTGACAATTACAATCAAGAATAGACATCAAAGGGGACATCTTTTCTTCAAGACTGCCTTTTTCTTTTTTTAGCTTTACCTGATCTCTTTATCTGGTCAAAAGATCCGAATTGTTCATTTTCACCATCATCACGACCTAACACATCATGAACATGTAATCTTCTTCTCTAATACCAAAGCTCACTTCCTCTTGAAGCTCAAAAAGAGTGAAATCATTCAAACCCAGATTAGAAAAGAAATCAAAAGGAAGTAGTAATCAAAAGTGAGAGAGAGAGAGAGAGAAGAAATCATCACAATACAAGCACTCAAAGATGAACAGTGTACACTAAAATTAACAAAGGAAAATGAGGGAATTGTTATAACAAGAAGGAGATTCAGATGATTACATGAAAGAATTGAAAAATCAAGAACAATAAGCCACAAAGAAGGAGGGTGTAAAGAGAGAGGAAAGCAGGAGAAAAGCTATCCCCTCTGTCTATGGACTCCTCTTCTGATCTAGTTTTGGGGCTGGAGCTCAAAACAAAACCCTACAGCAAACAACTGTTTTCTTTACCATTTCTTTCTTTTTCTTTTTTCTTTTTGTTTTTTCAAAAGAGAAAAGATTACCGGGAGCTACGGGCTATAGCCAGTAACTAGGGCGTTTTGCTGGTGCCCCACACGTGCAGCGCTGTCCAAATTCACAGATATATCCGGTTTTAATACATGCAGTGCTAACAAATCAAACAATATCCGAATTTTTTAATACTGAAATTTTAGTCACCATCTAGGGTTGCAATGTGGCGGGTCCAACCCAACAATTCAGCTTTAGCTTGCCAAATTCTTAAGTTTTGAAAAGTAATTTCATTTTTTTTTCTTCTCTCAATCAATATAACAATGTTATACTTTACCAATATTAAAATAATTAGTACATCAAATTAAAATATCGTTCAACTTATTCGATTTTAATTTTTTAAATGTTGAACTTTTTTTATATTTTTATTTTTTTACATTTTAGATAAATCTTACCTAAATAAAATAAAATATTTATAAAAAAAATTTAAAACCAATAAATATACAAGGGTACAAAAATATATTGAATTTTTATATTTTTGGTATTTACTAATTTTTAAAAAATTTTTTTATAAATATTATACTTTTTAGTGTATTTATGTTAGGTGTATCTAAAAATTTTAAAAAAAAAACTTAATTAAAATGTTAAAAAAATTTCAATGAAAAAAAAACGAAACATAAAAAATTTATTTTTTTGAAAAGTGAATCCAAAGAATTGAAACCAAATTAGGTGATTGGTTTTCTTTTGTTTTTAAAATTTATTTTTTGAATTTAAAATAATGAAAATCATTTTGGCAAAAATAAATATTTAAAAAATATTTTGTGAAAATCATAATGAGTTATCAATTTATTTATGAAACAAGCTTTTAAATTTTTTTACAAAACATATTTTAAAAATCAAAACAAACAAGATGAGTAACATTTGAGCTAAAATTTATAAATTCAAATTAAATTTGAACAATCATAATGCAATGTATTAGAATTAATATGCATAATTTTAGTTAATTTTTTTTTATAATGTTTCATGTTTGTAATTTTTGATTTTTTTTTAATTTAAAAAAAACGCAACGTATTGTTTTAAGCAACTAAAAATGATTATTTTTATGTTGAATTTAAACAACTTAAACTTCCAAATTTCTTCAGATAAATTTTAATTCAAATTCAAAAATAATTTCATGTTAGATATTAGGTTGAAATTGAACTTAAATAATGGAATTAACTCGAGCAAATTTATCAGGCATTCATCCCTAGTCATAATATTCTCATTGAGATTCCTCTACAAGTTAACTCAAAGAAGTTGCATCTCTAACCATGATGCAATGTATCATGCTGCTGACATAAAATAAAATAAAATGTGTTTGCTCATGCACTAATATGGTAGCATTAGCTAAGTATGATTAAATCTATAAAATTACATAAAATATATTTTTGTGGTTTTCTATAAACTAGGGACAATCACCTTGTTTAATTTCAAAAATTTGAGTATTTTGTTTTTCGTATTTTTTTTTGTTTCACTATATTTTTTGATATTTTAAGATTTTTTTTTAATTTTTAAATACACCTAACATAAATACATTAAAATATATAAAAATGTTTAAGACCTCCTTTCTCCCCACCCCCTTTGACCCCCTCTCTTTTTTGATTGGCTACTTTTTTTTTACTTTTTTTTTTCCTTCTCCTCCAATCACCACCCGCCACGTGTGTTGGGGGTGGTGGGGGTGGTGATTGGAGGGGGTCTCTATCAATGCTCTATATATAAAGTTCAATATATTTTCGTATTCCTATGTATTTATTATTAATTTTTTAAATATTTTTTTGCAAAAATTTTACTTTTTAGGTACATTTAAGTTAGATGCATCCAAAAAGTAAAAATATATATATATATATATATTAAAAAAATTGGTTAAAATATTAAAAAAATTCACTGAAAACAAAAAACACACAAAAAATATAAAACAAATTAATTTCTAGAAAATTTGAGTTCAAAAATTAGAACCAAATAAGGTGAATAATTTTTCTACATTCAGTTTTTAGGATTGGATTAGCAATCCTACCCTCCTATGAGAATGCTGATAGAAGAGTGCAAAATCTAAACTCTATATACGTAATTTATTATTATTTCCAACTCGATATTATTTCCAACTCAATCCACAAATCAAAATGATTAGTAATACAATTCTCAACACATTATGACAAATCAATTCTCATGTTCAATGGAATTGATTTAGTTTTAAACTCTGAAATCAATAGATGGAACACGATATTTTAACGTGGAATTCACCAATTTTCAGTTGGAGTTCACCAATTGCAATTGTCAAAAATCAGGGGCCATAAAGGCTAAGCAAATTTACTAAGAAAAATCATAAAGATTACAATAGGACATCTTACCCAATCTACCTCCCAATGAATCCACACTTGGTTGATCTAGAGACACTATGCTATCTTCAATCCTATTTGCTTTCAAGGTTTGTAGCTTAAAACTTGGTTCGGATTCCATTGAAATAACGCTGAAGAATGATCACAAACAAATATTCCTTGAATTGTTCATCAATTACATGAGATGTATAAGATACATCACTCAATTATCATGAAAAAAACTCAAAAAACTCATTCTTATGTCACACTGTCTATATTTAGGTGCTTGCAAAGAGAATTTTAGAAGAGTTGAATTGAGATTTGAAGAGTTGGAACTGTTATAACAAATTGAGATTGAGTTGACCATTCAAACAGTGTTTCTAGATATGTAGTTGTACCAAACTTGAACACTTGAATAACTTCAGAAATTGAGTCTTTGCTTAAATGCACCTTTCTTCACTCAAGTGACGAATGCAGCCATCTAGTACTTCAAAAACTCATACTGAGAAACTATAAGCCTAAAAAAGTTCATTCGGGCGCACCTTTGGTCACTCGAGCACGAAAGCAAAGCTTGCAAGATCTCATATCAAAGATTGAGATACTGTAAGACTAGAAAAGATCACTCAAGCACACTTTTGATTGGTCGAGTGATCTATGGAATTTTGCAATTATTATGAGGCAATTAAAATTGATAACCAAAGGTATGATTCACATTCTAAACACTCAAGAACCTCACAACAATACATTGGAATAATATGAATACAACTCAAAACTATTTGTCACGTGGGATTTTCAAAACAAGAGTCGTAACAAGGGAGACTCATTTTATCACCACCCAACATAATATTAGTGGAGCTTATAGACTATTAATTTAATTTCACCCAAACATCACCTTAGTCGAAATCTTTTTTCTTGAAAAAAAAATATTTTTTCTAAAATTAAATTGAGATATTTTTAAGGGTAAATTACACTTACCTCCTCTGAGGTTTCTAACAAATATGGGGACTTCCCCATGTGATTTCAATAATTATAGAAACCTCTCATACTTTTGCTGACAATATCAACATTCTCTCAATCAGTTAATTTAGCATAAACGACGTTAGTTTCCTATCCAAAATGACCATATAATCCTTGTGAATTAAGAGAGATAAAAACTATTAAATCAACCAATAAGCTATTTAAATGAAAATTTTCACTCAGCTAGCCAAAGGTTTTGTATATATATATTATTAAAGATCCATACATATTTTAACATAACACCCTAATAGTTTAATATAAAACCCTAATAAGTAATATTTCACACCATATAAACGATAAAAAAATTATCAATTTTAATTAATGCATTTATCATTTAAATTTCTTTTTTCTTTTCTTTTTTTAAGTTGAAAGAAATGGATTATTTTTTTTCCCAGCAATTTGTCCTACTTATTTATTCATATGTAAGAAATTTATTTAATTGTTAAGATATTATTTACAAATTTTAATTTTTATCTTTGAGTCATTGAATTTCTAGTCAATGCATATTTTAAAAAAAAATTAAAATTTAAAAATGCAAGTTAAATATGCATTGACTAAAAGTTTGTTGACTTAAAGATAAAAATTTAAATTTGAGAATAATATATGATTGAGAAAAGGTAAAAAAATAATTTTTTTTTACATGTGCATAAATAAGTAATGTAAATTACCTGGAAAAAATAAATCTATTTATTTTAACTTTAAAAAAATTCAAATAATAAATGTATTACTTAAAATAATAAATTTTAGGTTATTTATCTGGTGTATGCCTTATATTAAATTATTAGGGTGTTATCTAACATTAATTTTAGAGAAATTATTTATTTTTAGGTATTTTGTCAATAAAAATTAAGTTTTTCTTTTCATTAAATGATTTAAGGGTAAATTACACTTACATTCTCCGAAATTTGGGTTTAATATATATCATTCCCGACATTTGAGAAATTATTTCTAATCCTCTTGTCATTGTAATTATTTAGACGGAATTAATATTGGTATAAAAAAAATATTGAATTCATACACTCTTTTGTTCTTACTTTTCTTTACTTTTTTTATTTTTTCGTTGCTTTATTTTTTCTAATGTAATTTCCTTTATTTTTCTACTAAGAATTGTTACATTTTATATAAGTAGGGGTTTGTGAAATGAGACTGTTAACTACAGAAATGAGAATGTAATGTCTATAACGTTAAGGAATAGGATGTAATCAGCCAAATCTGAAAAAGTGTTAGTGTAATTTACCTATGATTATTTAATAATGTCTTCACAATTTAAAATTTTTATTTAATATTGAATGAAATTTAAGAATTTTATTAAATAATGATTAAAAATATATAAATTTTTGATAATATATATATACAAAACTTAGGAGAGGTGAATAATTTTTTTTATTTGAATAGATAAATTGATTAATCGATAATTTTATTATTTTTAGTATAACATCAATAAATTTTATTAAATAGAAAATCTTGACAATAATTTACAAAAGAAAATAAATTAATTAATATAATTATTGAAATGACAAGACCTTATGATTGTCAAAAAGGCATGGAAGGTAGGTGTAATTTACCCAATTTTTAAAGTGGAAGTTGGAAGTCCGTTCGGATGAGGGACCGACAGAGAGAGCGTGCCTTTCGT